AGGGCACCCAACGTGGTGCCTGAGGCCACCGTGGAGGTTTGAGGAACATCACCGGACACAGAGGACAGGCCTGTCCACTCACTTGAACCACCGCAGCCAGAAGACAACAGAAAGCAACGGTTCCAGCGAAGAATTGCCACGGGAAACCCGACCATGAGTCAAATTCAGAGGTTTTTTGACACAGTAACGCAAGGTAAAAAAAAATTATACCATGGGGCAAGCATTCAGTAAACAGAATTCACTTACTTGTGGACTCAAGGAGTCCCTCAAGACATGGGGAGTAAAGGTAAAATCCACACAGCTATGCCTGCCAGAGTTTGGAATGGGCAGGCTGGCTGACAGGCCAACAGAGCCTGTGTCGTAACCCCCTGCAGTGTGGAGCAGCTTCAACCAGAAGCTGCCAGGCAGGTTTGCAAAAAAAAAAAAAAAAAAAAAAAAAAAAAAAAAAAAAAAAAAAAAAAAAAAAAAAAACTAGCCTCGGGAAACTACAGCTTCAGGACAGTAAAAGCAGGTTAAATATGCTTTTTTCTTTCTTTTTTTTTGTTTTTTGTTTTTCGAGACAGGGTTTCTCTGGAGCTTTGGAGCCTGTCCTGGAACTAGTTGTTGTAGACCAGGCTGGTCTCGAACTCACAAAGATCCGCCTGCCTCTGCCTCCCAAATATGCTTCTTTTCTATTTCACAATTTTGCTTCTTGGTCAAAAATCTTTAGTTTGTAGGCATATAAATTTATATCCAAGTGGATTGATTTCAATACTGTGGTTCTGTAGGAAAGTTTTAAAGTCAAGAGATTGTAATGCATTCAAAAGTTCCTTAATTGTATAGGATTTTAAAACTGTTTAAGCTATTCTGAGTTCTTATATTTTCTTATAAAGTTGAGGATTGTTCTTTCGAAGTATGTGAAGAATTTTGTTATAATTTGAATGGGCTTTTGCATTGAATCTGTAGATGGCTTACAACGAGGTTTGCTGTGTTGGCTCTATCTTCACAAGAGAATAGGCGATCTTTCCATTTTCTGATACCTTAAATTTCTTTCTTCAAAGATTTAAATTTCTTGTCATACAGGTTTTTTTCATTTGTATGATTAGAGTTACTCAAAAATATTTTGTGGTATTGTGGATATTGTAAAAGATGATGTCTCGCCGGGCAGTGATGTGTGTCCTGTTTATGTGTGGCGTGCATTTGGAACAGGCGATAGCACCTTCTCCTACGTACTACAATTTTGGCTTTAGACTTCATGTATCGTGAAACGAGCAAAGTCAAGTTCCTAGGCCCTGGAGAAGCTGGAGACTTTCCAATAGCTGCCAATTGTCTTAAAAACAAGTATTCTGTCAGGTCATGAGATCTGCAAGGTTACACAGTAGATCACCAGCTGACGTTTGGAAGGCCAATCCACAGAGATTTACAGTTCTGATGGAGGTTAAATTCACGTAGGCATGACCCATGGAATGCACTGTCTTTTGAATACCTGGCCGTCTCTAACTGCAGATTCTCTTGTGTGATAGCATGCTCCCCGGCAGGGTCTTCCTCACAAGTCGGGCACAGTTTTCCTGTGTTCTGTTAGGAGGATGACTTTTTCCCCAAACTGTGTATTCTGGCATATAAGACAGTCAAACCTTTTGCCCCAGGCTTCAATAAAAAATAACAGCAACAACAACAACAAAAACAAAAAAACCTTAGGAACCTGTTCTCTATAATTAACTCCCTGACAAGATGATTTGACCAAGTCCTCGTGGGGTGATCACAGGGGGAGCTTTCACGGAACAGCATTGCAGGTGTCTGGCCTTGCTAATCTGAGTCCTTTCAAGATTTATGATGCGTTCGGGCGGTACTGCAGGTGTCTGTCCTTGTTAGATCCTAGTCCTTGAGGGATCCTCCCTAGGACCTCTGTTGCCCTGAGCATCCTTCACTGGCACCTCCCGGCTCGGATTCGAAACAGCAATTAACACTTTGCACGAGCAGTCGACTGTTTTTGTCTAGGTCCCAAGAGGTGGGTGATAAAAACGGACTGTTTATTGGCTAACCATGTCCAGATGTTATGAATCACACTTAAGAAACGGAAAATACAGCCTGGTCTATAAGAGCTAGTTCCGGGGACAGGCACAAAAGCTGCAGAGAAACCCTGTCTCGAAAAAAAAAAAAAAAAAAAAAAAAAAGAAAGAAAGAAACGGAAAATAATGCACGCATTCTCCGCCTTTCCCCCAGCGCTCTCAACGGTTTAGTTTTGCTCCTTTTGTAACCTGTAGAGGCCCACAGCTGCAGTTGTGGTTAGCTACGAACTAGCTGAGAAGTTTCGCTATGGTCTTCAAAGAATGCCTGTGTCCCTGAGAATTTTCCTTGCAGTTTTTGTTTTTTGTTTTGTTTGGTTTTTTTTTTCTAACAAGTTGTTAGTAATAAAAATAGTTGAATGGATTTATTTATGCATGGGAATTTGTAACCAACAGCTCGTGTGTGAGTTCAGCCTGTTACCTCTCAGACTAGAAATGTTTTAAGGCCCTTTTGTTACCAGAACCCTGGAAGGAAGTCAGCAGAGCAGGCCTCAGATGGCTTTTTTTTTTTAAAAAAAAATATTTATTTATTTATTATGTATACAATATTCTGTCTGTATGCCTGAAGGCCAGAAGAGGGCACCAGACCTCCTTACAGATGTTTGTGAGCCACCATGTGGTTGCTGGGAATTGAACTCAGGACCTTTGGAAGAGCAGGCAATGATCTTAACCACTGAGCCATCTCTCCAGCCCCTCGGAGGGCTTTTGATAGCTATGCATCTTTGGTTTTGTAGAACATTATAGTTGTCCTTAACAAGGAAAAGAACAAAGGAATCTAATTGGTTGGATTCCAAAGCTCACATTGTGTCCCTGGACAATGAAGGAGTGCAGAAGGAAGGCCCCTAATCTTTGAATCATGACTGCTGGGAACATGAAACTGGAGCTTGGCACAGAAGTTTGTGGGTTTTGTGCTTAAATACTTGTTGCAATGACCGTTCCCTGATCCAATGAGCTCTGAGTGCTATTGTTTCTGACTAGTCGGATTTTTTTTAAAGATTTATTTATTTATTATGTATTTATTATGTCTGCAGGCCAGAAGAGGGCACAGATCTCATTACAGATGGTTGTGAGCCACCATGTGGTTGCTGGGAATTGAATTCAGGACCTTTGGAAGAGCAGCCGGTGCTCTTAACCACTGAGCCATCTCTCCAGCCCCTCGGATTTTTGTTTGTTTTTGATTTTGTTTTCTTGCCTCCCAATTCTTGCTTTGTGTGGACTCTGGGGCCTGCTTGGGTTATTTCAGAGGTTTGGACACTAACAGGTACCTTAGTATGAAAGTGCCATGTGTGTGCACGCTTCTGAAAGCCAGATAATAACGTCAAAGGGCCACCTCCCTTAATTCCATCCCTCTCCTTCCAGTCAAGGTCCAGCCTTAGCCTGGCGTTCACCATCCCTTTTCTCTTCCATGTTAAGACTCCTGACTTTGCTTGAAGAGGGAAAATATTTACATCATTGTCCTGATCTTATTTATGTCATAGCTAATTTCATCCTTTCTGTCATATTCAGTATCAGAGTTCTGAATGTTACCAGATTTGCAGGTAGTACTTCAAAACCGTGAAGCCAGCTTATGGATAACACCGAGGTTTCTGAGGTAGCCCTGTAGACCCCTTTACCTCACAACTCCATGTGTGCTGGGCTGGCCGGGCATGTAGGAGCCCTGGCAGGAGATGCTCCAGGGGTCCCTGCTAGGACTGAAGGAGATGGCAAAGCAGGCTTATCTTTTCCTCCCTTTCAGGTCCTGTCTAAATTCTGTAATTTAGACATGTTCTTTCTGATTTCCTGAAGGCGTAAGTCACAAACAATCCCACACCAGTTTGGAATCACGACCAATAGAGAAGCTATTTATTTAAAAGGGAAAAAAGGAGCTCCTGCAACAATTTCCTTTCGTTGGCTATATTTGATATTCATGTATACCACTATCTAATTCAGGCCTCAGCGAGGAGGGGAGCAGTGATAATAATGTGGACCAGATGTTAGATGGTTGGCATGGACGAGTTCGCAGAGAGCCTTTAGGGAGCCAGAGCAATGGTTATGAACTTGCTAAGAATCAGTTTTGCACGGGAAGCTTCAGCCAACCCACGATGACATAAGTGCCGTGGCCTCACGAAACTGGCAGGGCCCTGAAACTCTAACAGCAGACTGTTGCTCACTTAGTGAAACGATTATTTGATGTCGCCTCATCCCTTATTCCTTCACAGCACATCAGGCCAACTGATCACCTCTGGACAGGGTTTCTCTGTAGCTTTGGAGCCTGTCCTGGCACTAGCTCTTGTAGATCAGGCTGGCCTCGAACTCACAGAGATCCGCCTGCCTCTGCCTCCCAAGTGCTGGGATTAAAGGCATGCGCCACCACCGCCCGGCCAAGGCTTTTCTTAAACATCGGAGCCCTTCTGCCTTAAATGTCTCCAGATCAGAGTCAAACGGAGACACTCTACTGAGCATTTACTGGCTGGCGAGCCATAGATCTTTACACTAATCTTATGGGAAAGGTTTGGTGATACTCCCTCTGCCTGCAAGAACCAGCCACTCAACAGATCAACTCGCCTGCAGTCCTCAGAGATCTTAAGGGGCAGAGTTAGTGCCAAGCCTGGAGCTACATCAGACTGCCTTTGGCCCACGTAGGCTATACAGTTTATGTAGCAAAGTTCTCTTTCTGCCAGGCTAAGCAGATTTCTGCACAAGGGATCCATTTCTCACTTTCCACCAGTCCCTCCCTCTCCTCCCTCCCTCTACTCCTCTTCCTCCCTCCTTTCTTCTCCCCCTCCTTCCCTTTCTCCCCACCTCCTTCTCCCCCTCTCCTCTTTCGCTTGCCTCCGGCGACCCTGGGGGAGGCGGGGGGCGGGGGGGGGGGAAACCACCCTTTCTCCACGCAGCTGTATTACGGGTTCATCGGTCCATCCGTCACAGAGACCCAGCCTCTGATTGGCTCCTGTTCTTAGGGCCGCCCACTCGGGGCGGGAAGTAGGGGGGAAAGAAGTTTGTTGGCGGGACCGGAGCGGTTTGGTGGTAGCCGTTCGGTTACCGGAGTGCTCCGGAGCTGCGGCGGCGGCCGGGATATCCCGCGCCTGGGGCTGAACGGTGAGTACCGGGTCGGGTCCGGCCGGAGGTGGCCGCTGTAGTCGGGACTGATCATCCGGACGGCCTCCCTCCGGGAGCAGCGTCCTGCAGAGTGTGGGACCGAGGACCCGTCCACTGGGCAGGGGGGATTTGGGTCACCATTTAAGAACAACAGCCTTTGAGTTTTTGAGACAGGGTTCCTGGCTGTCCTGGAACTCACGCTGTAGACCAGGCTGACCTCGAACTCACAGAGATCCACTTGCCTCACTGCCTCCCGAGTGCTGAGATTAAAGGTTTGCACCACCACCGCCGCCAGGCCCGCGTTGAGCCACAGCCATTTTGAAACTTTTAAAACTAAGTTTCCGGTTCTCGGCTTTCGGCTCTTCCTGACCCGATAACCTCAGAATGTTTTGTACCAGATGTTCCAGGAAGAGTTCCATACCTGCCTTGTTCTTTCTGTAAACTCACTCACTTGCAAAATCTCCGTCTGTGCGGTTTTGCACGGAATAAAGTGGTCTCTGCCCTTATTCGGTGGGATTAACATTTGGAGGCTTGAATGATATAAGACCATCTTCCCAAATTTAAAACGTGGACCCTTCCCTTTGAACCTCAGGGACTGCAGCGTCGCTTCCCGCCACGTGTGCACCTTCAGACCCCAGGCTCAAGGACCTCAGGCTCACCTCTTGTTTGGCTGGCCCAGGACTACATCCAAAGAAAACCAGTAAGCATCTGTCTGAGGAGGCCTCTATCAGTAAGTCTTAGTTTTCCTTATATGACATCTGGTCCTGGTTCTATTGGGATCCCATCTGAGCGCTAAGGAGAAGTCACACTCGTTCTTGTCCCCCTGTGCCCTGTGCTGTTTTGTCTTTCCTGTCTCTTTGTCCCTAGTCTTCTGTGGTTTGGACTTGGGGTGACTGGACAACAAAATGGGTAATAAGACTAGTAAGGTTGATTATTGTAAAGTTGATACTCCCTTAAAGTGTGTACTGGAAAATTTTGACTTACTTTACACTCGTAAGGTTAAGAAGAGTTATTTTGGTCACATTACCAAGGAAAAACTCCAGACCCTCTGTGAACAGAAATGGCCCACATTAGGGGTTGAATGGCCCCCTGAGGGCACCTTCGATCCCAAGGTGGCATGGGCCGTTTCTTTGGCTGTCGTCGGGCGACGCGACCTCATGGACCAGTTTGGATACATTGTGCCTTGGGCACAGGCAACATCTAAGCCACCAGTATGGATGAAAAAGTATATAATCGTAAATGGCCTTCATTCCCCATCGCCTCGCCCTCCTCAGTCCCAGCCCCAACTCCAACCCCTGACTCAGCCTCCGCCTCAATCTCAACCCCTGTCCCAGCCCCCTACTCAATCCCCGCCTCAACCCCAACCCCTGACTCAACCTCAGCCCCCGCCTCAACCCAAACCGCTCACTCAACCCCCACCTCAACACCAAGCTGTATCCCAGCCCTGTGATGTCTGTGTGCCTTTCACCAGCACTGATCTTCATAACCAGAACACCCGGAACCGACCTTCCAGCACCAACTCGAGCTGCATAGATGTGGTGCCTTTGACCACCATTGATCTTCTTAACTGGAAGGCGCAGTACCCTCCTTTCAGCACAGACCCCAAGCCCCTAACCTCTCTAATTGAATCTATCTTTCTCATCTACCATCCTAGTTTGGATGATTGCAAGCGTATCTTTTATGTGTTATTCACAACGGAGGAGAGGGAACGGATTCTGACAGAAGTGTCTAAAGCATTTCCTTGGCTACCTGAACTGACTGGCGAACTTGTCCTGCTTACGCAGAGTGCAGACTGGAATTCTAGGGTAGAGAAAGGTAGGAAGTCCCTCAGGGAATATTACTGTGCTTTGCTTGTGGGATTGAAACGGGCAGCCCGGAAGCCCACTGACCTTTCCAAGGTGGCAGCCGTGAGACAAGGTAAGGATGAATCGCCTTCAGTGTTTCTCGAGCGCCTCCTAGAGGCGTACCGTGAATATACAACCATAGATCCAGAGGACCCGATCTTCCTCCCGTCCGTTCACATGACCTTCGTATCTCAGTCTGCCCCAGATATACGGGATACACTCCTAAACATTGATGAATATCCGAGTATGAGTAGGTCGGAATTACTAGAAATAGCCCAGGATGTGTTTAACAATAGAGAATACAAACAACAGCAGCTGCTAATAAGGCAACTGACTAAGGCTATCACCTCTGCACAACAATGTGCTGCCTGCAGTCCTGGTCAGAGAACGCACAACCGGAGGAGCAGGCCCCTGCGAAGAAACCAGTGTGCTTACTGCAAGGAGTTGGGGCACTGGAAGCATGAATGCCCCCAACAGAGATGGGTAGGTCCTCCCTGGCCAAAGCCACGTTTTGCTTGAGGACAATAGTGAGGCCATAGCTTTTTCAAATTAGGCCCCCAAGAGGCTATGGTAATCTTTTTAATTACTGTCAACCTATACTTTTCCTTGTCAACATGGGGCCTTCACCTTTGGTTTTTTTTTGTGTGTGTGTCTCATTACCACCCCCCACCCCCTCTGTAGCTTTGGAGCCGGTCCTTGGAGCTAGCTCTTGTAGACCAGGTTGGCTATGAACTCACAGAGATCCACCTGCCTCTGTCTGGGATTAAAGGCCACCACCGCCCAGCTCACATTTGGTATTTCAAAAACCCTTAGGGCTGCTCACCATTCAAACAATGGAAATGCAGGGGAAGTCAGGAAATATAAGTGGACTGTTAATCTGGGAATCTGGGAAAGGGGACAGTGATTGATTCCTTCATGACTATCCCTGAATGTGCCCATTCCCTTTGCTGGGAAGAGACCTCCTAAGCAAGCGCCAGGCAACTAGCTTATTCTCAGGAGATATGCCTAAACTACAACTAGGGTGCCCAGCCACAGTCCTGACCATCACCTGTCCCTTAAGTGAGGAGTTCCTCCTCCACTTCCTCCTCTAGCGTCTGATCCAAGGCCCTGAGAGGAAATTAAAAGAACAAGTGATCCAGGGATGTTCCAGCTCCCTGGGCCAGAGATAGTCCTTCTGGTCTGGCCAAGCATGTGTTACCAGTTAGAGTTCAGCTGACTTCTTGGGCCATGCCCATCTGTGTCAGACGGTATCCCATCAGTACAGAGACCAGAGAGGGACTCAATTGCCTTCTCAAGGCAGGCATGCCACTCAGCATGGAACCCCCCCTTATTACCAGTCCAAAACCTGGGATTAGTACAGTATAGGATTTAAGGAGAGCACATGAATGGGTGGAACCTGTTTGCCCAACTGTTCCCAACCCTTATACTCTGTCTCTGTTCAGCATGCTGCTGTCTGAGCATCAGTTTTATACTGTACTGGATCTAAAGGAGGCATTTTTCTTTTCCCTTGTCAGAATTAAGTCAGCCTGTCTACATTTAAACAGGCTGACCCTGAACTGAGAATATCGGGGGCAACTGAACTGGACCCGATTACCTCGGGTTCAGCAAATCCCCTGCCATCTTTGATGAAGCCCTCAACCAGGAAGTCATAATTTGAATCCCTTTTCCAACCACAAAGAGGCACATTAGGGCGTTCTGGGGTTTCATTGGGTATTGCTGCCTCTGGATACCTAAGTTTGTTGGCGTTGCCATACCCTTGTGCTCAGCCACTGCAGGGGCTTAAAACCCCTTTGTGGAGTGCACTGAGGGAAGTTAGCAGGTTTTTTTTTTTTTTTTTTTGGTTGTTGTTGTTTTTTAAGACAGGGTTTCTCTGTAGCTTTGGAGCCTGTTCTGGAACTAGCTCTTGTAGACCAGGCTGGCCTCGAACTCAGATTTGCCTGCCTCTGCTGAGTGCTGGGATTAAAGGTGTGCACCACCACCGCCCGGCTAATTAGCAGATCTTAAAGGAACTTGAAAGTGGCTCTTGTGTAGGCTCTCCTTAACTCTTCCTGACATCTCCAAGTTCTTCAACCTCTGTGTTCATGAGAGAAAGGACATTGCCAAAAGAGTCCTGACCCTGGGTGTCTGGAAAAGGCCAGTTGCCTACATTTCAAAAATGTCTATGAGCCATGGCAGCAGCCGCAATCCTTGTAAAAGAGACAAACTTACCATGGTACAGAATCTAACCACAACAACCCCATGTGCATTGAGACTCTATTAAAAGATGCCACTAATTGCTGGATGTCTAATGCTGTCTAGTCCAATATGAGGCCCTTCTCCTAGATGAGGATAGATTGGCTTTTGACAAACCCATGGCTGTCAACCTTGGTACCCCATTACTGGACAGTGACCCTCAGGAAACCATACATGACTGGAGATCCTCGATGTCATTCAGGGTCGCTGACTAGACCTCATGGCTGGTCCCTTCATAGTCAAGGCAATAGTTTTGTCTGTGAAGGAACTAGGAACACTGGGACAGCAGAAGTTCTGGGCCAGAAAGGAGTCGTTTGGTCATAAGCTCTGTCCAAGAGGCACATTGGCCCAAAGAGAGGAATAATGGCCCAGATTAAGGTTCTAATCATTTTTTCTATATTTCTCCATAGAAATATATTTCTATATTTCCTGAACTCCAATGGTAATGCATGCAACATAATTTCCAGTTTATATTGAGGGCTTCTAAAGTCATTTGAGACAGTTTGGCCATAAAGATCAGTCAAACCCCAGAGTTGGGGAGGCCAAATCCCTTTACCATAACTCCCAACCTCTCTAAAACCAACTTTAATTGTCAGTTGTGGTCATTGTAACACTGTGTTTTCCAACTTAAATCTGGAACATTTGTGATTCTGAAAACTCAGGTTGGAATGAAGGAAGAACCTGGGGAATTAGGCTCTGTGCAGTTGGATTGAATCCTGCTTTCTCACTTACCAGCTAGTGATAGGCAGTAAGACAGAAGAGCCTAAACCTATAGGCCCCAGTAGAGACCTCCCCGTACCCCAGGTTCTTGGTTCTTCCAGCACACCCATGTTCCAAAGACTTAAGAAGTACTGTCTTGCCTAATCTAACCTCTCCATAGCCCTCTCCTGTTAAAAGGAAAATCCAAAAATCTCTATTCATGTTATGAGACACCTGCTATGGGACAGAAGGAAAGCCAAAATTAAGTGACTATTCTATTGCCACTGTTCTCAATCCTTTGGTTTTACTTTGAGTCTTTAAAACTTTTTTTTTTCTGGGGGGAGGGGGTTGAGACAGGGTTTCTCTGTAGCTTTTGGAACCTGTCCTGGAAGTAGCTCTTGTAGGCCAGGCTGGACTTGAAAGCACAGAGATCCACCTGCTTTTGCCTCGGAGTGCTGGGATTAAAGGCCTGCGCCACCACCACCTGGCAAAACAAGTATAAATATTTCTCAAAATTTATAAAATTAATATATGTATATACATATACATTAAATTTTTATGTATTTTTGAGATTTATTTTTTGTTATGTATATATACAGTATTATTCCTGCATGCCAGAAGAGGACACCAGATCTTATAGATGGTTGTGAGCCACCTTGTGGTTGCTGGACACTCAGCACCACACCTCTGGAAGAGCAGCTAGTGCTCTTAACCTCTGCTCCATCTCTGCCCCTCTGTCATGATATTAATGGTCATATAGAATACTAATTCTAGAAAAAAGATTTATTAGCTTCCTGTACATGATTTCCGGGTTTTAATTACTATCAGGTAACTAGGAATTAAGTTTTTGTTACTCTGGATGCACTTAATAAATTGTGGTCCTTTAACCTTTTTGTAATCTGCTGCATATGACATTTAAAATGCTTAAGTTTTCTGCAGTGAACTGTGACCATTCCTAACAGCAACCTTTGACGTCTCCAAAAGGATGATGGGGCCCCACAACGATTCCACCTGCATTGTGGTAAGGCCTTTACACTGACAGACACCACCCAAAGATCGGCTTTGAACTCCAAACTTCTCAGGACAATTTCCAGGTGGCTAGCCGTGATGGTGCAGCCTCACAGGCTCCTCCATTGCAACTGGACAGCAAGTGATACTACAGCTGGCTCTCCCAGGACTTGACAATGGTCCCAGTTTTCTCAGGGTCCCCTAAAGATGCCATCACCCCCAAACAGCAGGAAGCAATTTTAAGAACACGACGCCCACATTCCCAAGAGGTGGGGTGGGCAGTTTTTGGTTGTTCAATGGGTTATGGATACTTGTCATTGTTTATGGGGGTTGGTTACAAGTTGTTATTATTGGTAATGGTCAGGAAAAAACTGAACAAAGGAGATTAGATTCAGGGATCTTCTTCTGAAAAGAAAAAGGGAGGGGTTAAATGATAGGATAAAAGGGTAGATTATTGAATCTACTTTTAAACCAAAAAACTACTAATCTTAAATATTTTACATTGGTATGGACTTTTGTATATTGATACAAATTTGAGGTTACTTTTGTTATACTGATTAGAAGTTTTTACTTTTGTTTAAGATATTTTTGTATAGTGATACAAATTTAAGGTTATTTTTGTTAAACCATACTGAATATATGTTCCTATTCTTGTTTCTAAGAATGTCTAAACAGCTCATTTAACAATGGAATGTATATTTCTAGTCCTTGAAACTTAGGGTAATAAAGCAATACAGGTTACCAGTTACATTACAATCATACTTGTAGTTAAGTGTGTTTTCAAGGTCAAACATATTTCAGATAGACAGGCGGTCTTCAAAGACTTCAGAGATCATCAGAATATGGCATTTAAGATGTTTTAATAACATAATTTTTTTTTTTAATGACAATGAGACATGTCTCCTCCTGGCAGCACCAATCTACTTCAGAGAAGATGATGGGCGTCAAAGAGTCTCCATATGGAGTTTGCTTTCTTTGTGGCAAAAGTTATGCACTGGGCAAGAAACTGCCCTTTTCTCAACTGCTGACAGTATGCTGTCCTAGTTGGACAAGCAGGATCATAAAGTGACTGTCGGACTTTGCCAAGACAATGTGGGACAGTCCTTCAAAATTCCTGCTTTACAGAAAAGTCTGTCAGATATTCTAGGCCTGTAGGCTGAAGATGGATGCCCCAACGTTACAGAGGAATCTCTGGTGACTGTCCAGGCAGCCAGCTGTCTCTGTCATTTCTTAGTTTGGGAAGTTGTTTGTTCTGCACTTCCTGTCTACTCAGGTAATATTATATCCTTCTCAGGTCTCTGATGAAGTTGAAGACTAGATAGTTATACTTTTCCTTGTTACCAGATTCAGAAAAGAAGCTCACAAAAGAGGTAAAGTGTTTTTTATTTAGACAAGAACGCAGAAACGTGGACTATTCCTCTATACTGTGTGAATTTATGTCACTGTGATTGGTTTAATAAGGAAGCTGACTGACCAATATCTGGACAGGTAGAGGTTAGGTGGGAGAGCCAAACTAGGAAAATGCTGGGAAGAAGGGTGGAGTCTGGGAGTGAGGAACAGATGCAGAGAGAAGCAAGGTGGGCATGCTGTACTGAGAAGGTGTATGACACCATGTGACAAGGCGTACATAGAAACATAAGAGTTAGCTAGTAACAAGCCTGAGTTCTTGGCTGACCATTTATAATGAATATTAAGCCTCTGTGTGATTACTTGGGAGCAGCTGGTGGGATAGTTGCCAGGCTACTGGCTCTGCTGTGCACAGAATAAAGCTTGCTTTGATTTGGCCGTAATTTGTGGTCAGTGGTCATTATTCTTATTTTGTGGGATTAACAGGGGCTTCACCAGGAGCACCCCTCTGCCTATCTTGGGGACCTTGCTCTGCTCTTGAGCTCCTACCAAGGGAATTCATTGTTTTGCAAATGGGTGTTGCATGGCCCTCCCTCTGGGAGTAATTGATTCACTGAGTCCACTAACTTTTTAAAAACTTACTATTTGGGGCTGGAGAGATAGCTCAGCGGTTAAGAGCATTGCCTCCTCTTCTAAAGGTCCTGAGTTCAATTCCCAGCAACCACATGGTGGCTCACAACCATCTGTAATGGGGTCTGGTGCCCTCTTCTGGCCTGCAGGCATACACACAGACAGAATATTGTATACATAATAAATAAATATTTTAAAAAAAAACTTACTATTTAAGGTATTTGCAGAGAGGTACCTGTGTCGTTGGTAATTCCAATTGAGGGTCCAAAGGGCTAAACAAGGCAAGAGTAGGTGGTGGACCTGGCTATGGTCCACCGAACAGGACCCTTTAGATGTTGGTCGGGGGAAGTGGTGACACTCCTGGAGTCACCCACGTGCCCACCCAGGTAGTGGCCTGGCAGGGTTTCAGCAAGCCCCCCTTGCTCTACCCTCCCGTGCATTGCCCGGGCTCCAGAACTCTGCTGTGGTCAGTAGACCTCCACTTCACTGTTCTTTCCGGGTTCAACCAGAAGCTGCTTTTTCCTTTTAGGGAAAATTTCTTCCTGGGACACCAGATACCTTTGGGTGCAGCTGTTTCAAGGGCTCTGAAGTACATTTCTACAGTATAAGCTAAGATTTTTTTGTTTTCATTTTTAGTTTTTAAAGTTTTAATTACTGTGTCTTAAGAGAGCCATGAAACAAAAATAACTCTAACCTGTGAAGCCATTTACCCAGGGACAGATACTTCCTGAAATACTTGAGGCTATTGTTCATGTAAGATAACAAGCCACTGTTGGACTTGCACCAGCCTGATCACTTGTGAGCAGGAAGTGCATCAGGATGGACACTTGCCCCCCATTGGATGTGGGTATGCAGGCAGGAAGTGCATCACGATATATACTTTCCCTGATTGGACCTGATGGGAAATATGGTGTTGCCTTTTTAAGCCTCTGCAAAATGTGACTCACGACCATCACCATTTTCTGGGAATCCAGAAATGGACCCAGGCTGGGTCCATCATCCTAGTCAGTATTTAATTAAAGCTTCCTTCAATTTGGCTCAAAAGCTTACTGTCACCTGGCGGGATTAACACTGGCCTCTTGAGTGCTAGGGTTATAAGCAAGCGCCACCGTGCCCATCTCAAGAATTCCTAGGAACACGACCACAGGAAGTCGGAGGGGCATGATGACCCAGACCCTAATCCCTTGCTGCAGAAGGTAAGCAGAAGCTGCAGAAGGATGACAGAAGGTAAGCAGCTTGTGTCCTGATCTTTAAAGTGACAATTCCTTGGGCCGAGATTTGCTCATTCATAGCTAGCATGCAGAAAGCCCTGGTTCAAAGCAGACATGGTGGCACACACCTGTACTCCTGTTCTTAGGAAGTAAAGGCAGGAGGACCAGGAGTTCACGGTAAGCCTGGGCTTTGTGAGGCCCTGTCTGAAAATGGTGGTAGGGTACACCTTTAATCTCAGAAGTATAAATGCCACTGGGTGTGGGGGAGTGGGGCAGAGGGAGCAACAGCTCTCTGAGTTCTAGGAAATCCTGGTCTGTATCAAGTTCTAGAACCACCAGGGATACAAGTAAGATCCTGACTTTTAAAAAGAAGTGTCAGCTTTGTGGTCTTAGTTAGATGGTGGTGCACATCTTTAATAATCCCAGACAGACATCAGCTTGAGCTACACGGGCCCTGTGGCAAATAAGGTAACTGAGAAATTGCACTGTGGTGCACTCTGAGCTCAGATCTCTACAATCCTGATCTTTCCTTCTGATTTGAGTTACTGACAGCTGTGTCAAAGTTGTTTACCAGCTCTGCTTCACGAGCACGTGCTGCCTTGCCTTGAGGATCAGAGGATGGGGTTTTCACCTGTTGGCCCACCTGACTGTTGGGTGTATAAGCTTCCGTGGTGCTTTTGAATAAAGGGCTTCTTACCAGTGACTTTGAGGTCTGTGTCTCTGTCTCTCTGAGTCTTTGTGTGTTTCAACCTCCAGCCCCTTGCCTGAAACTCGCGAACTGTATGGTAGCACATAGAGCGCAGACAGGCGTTGTGCGCGGCAGGGGTTTGTGTAAAAGATCTTTTTAGTAACCTCACACACACTCTGAGGTCACACTCTTCACTTCACACACTCGCTATTGTTCTGTTTGTACTACTTCACGCTTCTTTGCCCTAAAAACTCTTCTCTACCGGAACCTTGAAATGATAAGGGCGTCACAGAGTTGTTTCTAATTGGTCAAGAGCACATTCCTAAAGCAGTTCAGGGTGGCTCACAGATGACAAAGGGGAGGTCTAGCTCTCAGCCGGTTGTTCCAAGAAGCTCCCTGATCCCCACTGAGTATAGTTCCCAGAAGTCACTAAGAGGAGCCCAGGCTCCCAGGTGACTGTTGTGGGGTGATAACACATGATGGTGATGGAGACAGAGGGGATGTAAGTGGCAAACCCAGGGAGCAGGGGCAGCAGAGAGGCTGCCAAAGGAGGGAGCTGGCAACCACCCCGAGAGGTCCTCTAATCTGGAGCACTCATCACTCCTTCCCAGGTGTCTTCCTGTAGCCACTTAGCAGGGGCACCCTCGGGGTGTGAGAACAGAGAATCTAGAGGTAGATTCCAGGCCCTAGGGCTGTACTAGTACTGGAACTAGGGTCAGTTAGTTCTGTTGTTGCTGTCAAGGAAAACTTAACACCAGGCACGTCAACCTGCCTCTCATCTGTAGGATATTTAGTCTTTGGGCTTCCTGATGTCTCTTCTCTACTGTGGGCTGTCTGGTTGTGTGAGGCAGTCTTCACTGCGGGTCCCCTATAGGAAGGATACAACCAGCTACCCTTGGGATGGGGACCTTCCAACAGTGATGACCACTTTCCCACATCAGTGTGTGCTCTGGTTGACGTCCTACACACAATGGCTTCCTTTAGGGGTCAGTAGTGGTGGACCATCCCACAGAAGAGCCACGCAGGATTCTTGGGGCCCTGTGCTTTGTGCCTGTTTTTCTTTGTGTGCCTTGATTCCCAGACAAGAGTCTGTCTCGGGCACAGAACCAGCTGGAGTGGAGATGAGGGGCTCCATGGGAACCATTGTTCTGCAGGCTGAGCAAGCCCTGACCCACTGGAGTGGGACAGATAAGCCAAGCTGGATGCTCAGTGGGGGAGGGGCTGGAGTACAATGACAGCCAAGGGCAGAATATATTGAAAAGGGGACAGTATCCCAGGGACTTGAGGGGGTTGGGGTAACTATTGCTAAGGTTACAAATGCCTGTGCTAAAAAAAAATGTATGCACTTCCAAGTTCTTGGACAGAGTGGAACCCTGGCAGAGGTTTATTTTTCCTTGACTGCTGGTTGTTGGAAAGGAGGTGGGCACAGCGGGGATCCCAAGCTTTGCCTGTAGCTTCTGTGCCACCAAAGGCTATGGTTCCTTAATGTCCACTGGGACTGAAGGGCCTTTTGCTGATCTGCTTGGATGAGACTCACAGCAGTAGGAAGCCAGCTGTGTGTGTGGACCAGCGCGGTCCTACCTGGCACACCCTTGCAAATGGTCGATGAGACAGGACTTGCTCCTTAGCGCGGCAGCAGCTGAGGTTGGGAGGAGAGCCCTGGCAGAAGTCAACTGAAATGGAGGACGTAAACGTACAGACGCTCAAACCTTGCTGTACTGATTCCACGGAAGTGTGGTTTAGGCTTTGACTCAGGCCAGATGGGTCAGTGACCCGGGGGTTTGGGGCCAGCTCCGGGCTTGGCTTGCCGTGGAAGGCCTCTCCTCCTTGCACCCTGATCGGCAGCACAGAACCCGTTCTACTGGGAAGATGGCTCCAGCTGGGGGGCGGGGTGGTGGAGGGGAAGGCGCATACTCCATTACAAATACGTCACAGCAGAGATCAAGATTTCAAAGGAAATTTATTGTTTTTGAAAGGTCTGAGGGGACTTTACAAGAGTCTGAAGCCAGTAACTACAAAGGGTGATAAATAAAATACAAAGCCAGTATGTTGTGGCAAATTTCCAGAAAACACATCGAAAATCTTTACAGTTCAAAACTGTTTCACTTTATACATAATTACAAATTACTATACAGCGCTTGGGTTTAACCCAACTTTTATTTAATAGGGCTTAGAACAGAAATGTCCGCACAGCATTTGGAGACGACCTAACAAGAACAGAGGTATAGGTGTATCTTGCCCACCTTCTGTAGTGCCCAGGCCTCAGGAAGAGACCTGAGACTAACCAGCTGGGTAGGCCCGTCCCAGCAGGTGGCAACCGAGGCGGGGCAGCTGATGCTAGAGGGTCTAAGGCATGGGTCTGGTGCTTCCTGCAGAGGCCCTCAGGGGTCTGTGGCAGTGGCACCTGCATGGTTTCGAGGCAGGGCACACTTGAAGCAGTGGGGCCACCCACCTTACACCTTATGAGATGGAGAAGTAACTCAGGACCTGTCAATCTCTTGACAAATTAAATCCCGTGAGTGCAGGAAAAGGCCTCTGCTGCCAACCCTCCCCCCTTTCATGGCAGCATTAGAATACTTTGCATATCTAAACCTGGCCAGCAGGCAGCAGACTCCAAAGCTCTAACCAGATGTTATGCTACGCGAAAGAAAAGCATGGAGCCAAACACACTGTGCCCTGGTCTCAGGGATGGCCAGGGTCACTGCTTCACCCAAGGGCACTCATGCTCAGGTGTCCAGGCATGGAAGCCCACTCTCCAGGACTGTCCTCTGGGCACAGGTTGGAGTAATAAGTCCTATGAAATACTGGAAGCCTTGGCAAGAGCCTCAGGGACAGAAGGACACCAATTAAAGGCCTGTACGGGCAACTCTGGGCAAGCTCTGGCCTAGGGGCCAAGGTTCTCAGCCTTGTACTA